AAAACTGTGGTATAGCCTAAGTCTACTCCGAGAAATGAAGTGGTGACCCGACTAGAGAGTGATGTGGTAGCTCCTCTACTAGAGACTGCTGCTTCAGGTCTATCTCCATATATACTGCAGCCGCCGGTGCGTCTGCCAGATTGTCTGATGCTGCTGCCATCTCCGCCTCCTCTGTTACTAGGATAGCGTCCTCCTCTAGGCTCTTGATAAGAGCATTGTAGCTCTTATTCCAGTCCTTCTTGCCATAGTGGCAAGCCCCTGACTCAGAATGCTCTGGGTGGAAAAGATAGCGCTGGTCTCGCAGAATCTGTGTGATGAGATGAGCAAATAGGAAATACTTAGCCCGTTTGGTCTTCGCCTTGTTGATATAGTTTGTATAAAGCTTCATCATGACACTCCAGTAGAGTACCGGAATGGAGATCCACTACTTGATGTAGAAAGCATATAGGGCTGCCAGGAAGTCAGAACACCTCTAGATCTTATGCCTCGCCATAAATACATTTTGGTACAAGACCGAATCAAAAAACTATAGGTTGTCGGGCAGACAAATCCTAGTGGCGAAAGTCTCGCCAGCTGCATAATGGCCAATAAGGGCAACGGCCATGTCTGCATCAGAAGGCCTCCTCAGAATAGGATAATCAAGTCCTAGAGGGTAGACATGGGGGCATCAAGAAGATGTGGCCAATGTGTTGACGGTAATGCAGATGGGATATCCATCGATAGTAGTTTGCAGCTCTAATGGATTACCTGGGGCCGGCCGAAGGTTCTGGAAGAACATCCGAACAAGCTGCAGGAAAACTGGATAAGTAACTGGCGCTAGAATGGCTAGAATGTCACGCCGCTCTATGTCATCGAAAGCTGCACAGGTCAAGACTGAGAGGGAGAAAAAAGATATATCAAATACTGACTCATGGGATACAGAAAGGCGTATGAACTTCCAGACAGGTCGGTCTCGGACCTGGCCAAGCTGTGCCGGTGGTGGAGAAGGAGAAGATATATACTCATCCTCATCGGAATGGGATGAAGATACAGAAGAGGTAGAGGTAGAGCGGTCAGACTGAGCCTTAGCTGGCTCCACATACTCCTGTAACTACTCAGGCTGCTCAGCCTGCTCTGGAACTGGATCCTGAGCATGAAAGGGCTTTGCGGGCTCCTCTACACGCTATCGTACCCTCCTTGAATACTGCCGACCGGCGACTGTCTTAACCCATTCCATGGCCTGCAAAAGAACGAAACACTTGCAAAGTCAGCAATCAGATAATAAAAAATTAAAGCACAACATATAGAAACATGTTTGTCAAGTAAGATAGACAACTCAGAGTAATGGACATGAATCTATGCAAGAGATAATGCAGCCAGGTAAACAGTGACTGAGTGAAGCATGCTAAAACAGTGTAAGTATGGAATGCATCTAATGTGGAAAACACAGGCATTGGGCATCAAAAAACTATCATGAACACTATGGATAGTGTGTGAAGTGCATATATGCAAATCTGTGAAGTTCGATCGATCAAGAAAATATGAGATCGATCAAGACAAAGTTCGATCGATCTTTCTCAGATCGATCTGAGAAAACTTCGATCGATCGAATTACTGTGAGGAAATCAAAAAGTCATAGATCTATGACGTGGATGACACGAGGGGCAAACAAGCAAGCTTGTGGGTCCCCCTACACAACAACAACACATAAACGGTCACTTAGGGACCCCAAAATCAAATCGAAAACGAAAATATATACACATATATATACATATATATGTGGCATGCTTCGAAGATCAAAAATGGCAAGAAATCATCAAGGAAACTTAGATCTATGCATGGAAAGCATCTAAAACATGTGATTGAAGCTTGAAATCCAAAAATACAACTTAAACTTACCAAAACTCAACGAGAGAAGTGGTCTGAGAGAAATAGATGAGATCTGAGATGGGAGATGAAGTTTTGAAGCTTGTGCAAGGTCGCCGGAGGTTGGGAAAGTGGGTTGCAGCGGTGGGAGATGATGAGGGTCAAGATTGATGTGTAAATCGATCAAATGAACCCTAGGGTTTCTATTTTAAAAAACTGCCTCTGACATGTTCGATCGATCTAGAAATATCTTCGATCGATCAAACATAGATTGATTTAAAAAGAACTCAGATCGATCTAACCTTGTAAAACATATTTTTGGAAATTTAAAAATTCAAAATTCAGAATATTTTTTAGATTCTTGGAAAAATAAATAAAATAAAAATCTTTTTGGAATTTTTTTTTTTTTTTTAGAAATATTTGAAATAAAAAATTTTTGAATTAAAATAAAAATAAATCTTTTTGAGGTTTTTGAAAATCAAATAAAATTAAAAATCAAAAATGTATTCAAAGTCAAAGTTAACAACGAAATACAGATCGATCACTCCAAGATCGATCTGGAAGATGCTTCGATCGATAGAATAGGTAAAAACCTGCAGACAAGTTCGAACGATCAGACAGAGAGCTGTTTTATGCAGGGTTCAAAAATTTCTAAGTGTTGGAACTGAAGATCGATCCAAGAAGAATTTGGATCAATCTTGGAATTTCAGATCGATCACAAAGAATTTCGCTCGATGGGACAGAAAGGTGAAATATACAGGTTTGATGCAGGAATGAGGTTCGATCGATCAAACCTCTTTTGAGATCGATCGAACAGACACAAAATGTCCATTTTCAGAATGGAAGTGCATGCATTCTCAATCACAGTCCCCAACAATGTCTATGAACCCAGAATATATCTAGACGTCGCAAGAAACGAAAGATAAAATAGAAATGAAAGAGGAATAGGGTTGTAAACCCTATGAAGCATTACTGTCTTTAATGTCCTAGCAAGACGTTGGGCTCTTTTAGCCCGGATCAAATATCTTATTATGCATCCCCTCCTTAATGGGGTGAAAAAACTTTGAACCCCATCCAACAAATGCTTCTTTAAGGAACTTGTTGGATTTGGATCAAAAGACATTGATGGTCCTTGGTCAAAATAACTCTTGGGCTTCTATGCCCTTTCAAACGTTGCTTTTGAAACAATAATTCTTGAATTCAAGTTTGAAGATGAACTTTTAGAACTTCTAAGCAAAAACTTATGTTTTTCAAGTTCATTGTCAATGCACTTTTCAACAACACACACTTCTTCATACTTGTCTATGGAATTCGGGGTCAATTAAAGATGTTCAACTTCACCTTCATATGCCCAAATGAGATTTTCATTATCCCTGTCCTATAATTTATGTTAGTATTCGCGTTTGCCAAGAAAGGACAGCCAAGGATAACGGGAATTTGGCTCTTAGGATTCTGAACCGGTTCCGTGTCTATGACAATGAAATCAATAGGGAAGAAGAACTTATCAATCTTAATCAAAACATCCTCAATGCTACCTCGGGGCTTTTTGATGGATCGGTCGGCAAGTTGTAAAACCACCGACGTCGGTTTCAAGTCTCCTAAGCCCAATTTAACATACACTGAATAAGGAAGAAGGTTGACACTTGCTCCTAAGTCTAGAAAAGCCCGATTAATGACATGGTCACCAATGATGCAAGAAGTAGTAGGTGAACCAGGTCCTTAAACTTTGGGAAAGTGTTATGTTGTAAAATGGAGCTCACTTGCTCGGTCAAGACCACTTTCCTTGGTGCTTGGCTTTTGTTCTTCCTCTTTTAGGTGCAAAGATCTTTCAAAATTTTGGCATAAGCTAGAATTTACTTAATTACATCCAAAAACGGAAGATTGATCTTCACTTGCCTAAACACATCAATGTTAGTCTTGGTCTTTTGTTTGTCAAGAGAAATGGATCCTTTCAAGGCATCTGGAAATGGAGCTTTAAGCTCAAAAACTTTTTCAAAATTTTCCTTTGAAGAATCTTCAACACAAGAATTTTTCAAATCATTGTTCAATTTATCTTTCAAATCATTTTTGACAACTTTCTCAATAAGATGATAATGCACATGCAATAAAGGAGGAATAAAATATGAAACGGGATGGGTGTCAACTTTTGGTTGCACCGATTCACTCTTTTCATTAGACATACTCACTTGGATGTCCATAATTCTCCCACTTCTCAAGGTTGGCACCGCATTGACATGTTCGATTGTGTGACCTTCCGATGAGGAATGAGTCTCCACAACGCATTGTCGCTTTGGTGTTGCATTCAAAGGCATCTTCCCTTTTTCTCTCACATTCAAGGTACTAGCTATTTGCCCGACTTGAGTTTCTAGCTTAGCAATGGATTGGGAATGGGAATGAAGCAATTGAGTATTCGCCTCTAGAGTGCCTAGAGCGGTCAACACTTTTTCCTCAAAAGCGGGACTCCTAAAATTTCCTTGAGAATATGATGATTGGTTAGGAAAATGAGAATTAATTGATTTCCATGTGATGATTGAAAATAATATCTAAAACCTTGGGAACATTGGCCTTGCATTGGAGGTGGAACATACTTGTTTTGAAAACCACCTTGGGGAGGGTTTGAGCCTTCCCCTTGGCTTTTCCAAGAGAAGTTTAAGTGGTTCCTCCAACTTGAATTGTAATGAGTGCTATAGGGATTATTCCCTTGGTTGACAAATGTAGCATTGACTTGCTCATGGTTTTCACTTGGCATATGTCCATAGGGACAATTGGAAGTAGAATGTAAAACACTTGAACAAGTCATACATGATTCATTGGATGCACGATGATGAACATGATTAGGGGAGGAAGACATTTGATTCGCCGAAGTTTGGTTAATCAAAAATTGATCAAACCTTTGAAATAAGGATTTCATCTCGGCGACTATGTCATTGGAATTGTCAACTTGATATAAGCCAACATTCTTCCTTCTACCTAGATTTCTACCATTTTTAAAGGATAAAGATCTATGCATTGAATTTTCACTCATACTTTCATACAATTGCCACACATCATCCTCATGCTTATCAAGGTAAAAACCACCCATAGATACATCAACCATACCCTTGTGACTATCCGGTAAACTTTCAAAGAAATATTGAACTAATTGCCACTTAGGTATGTCATGATGTGGGCATTTCCTAAGCAAATCATTAAACCTTTCCCATGCCTCATGAAACATTTCCCCATCCCCTTGAGAACTTGAGAAAATTCACGAATGGAAGTTCTCATGGCATTGGTCTTAGAAACCGGATAATACTTCTTCAAGAACTCTTCTTGCATTTCTGTTTAATATGTTATCGAAAAAGGCCTAAGATTGTTGAACCAATATTTTGCCTTATCTTTAAGGGTAAAAGGAAAAATTTTAAGTCTTAAAACCTCTTTCGGCATGTCCGTGTATTTCACGGTAGAACACACTTCAAGAAACTCATCCAAATGCTTATAAGGTTCTTCACTTGGAAGTCCATGATAGTTGGGAAGCATTTGAATGGTTTATGGTTTAATCTCATAGTGATGTGTTCTAAATGGGGGCAATTGAATGCAAGTGGATGCATTATATTCATTAGGCACATAATGGTCTCTTAAAGTAATGAAAGGATTCACAACCGGCGGTGCTACTCGAACACCTTGATTGCCTTGCATAATGGGAGGTTGTGGAGCGAAAATTGGCCGAGGCATTCCCAATGGAATTTGGCCTTGTTGTTCTAGTGGAATGAATGGTCTAGGCATGCCTAATGGTACTTGAATATTTTCATGATACACATTAAGGTGGAGGATGACTTGTTGGTCTGTGTGACCAAGGTCCTCCACATGGTCGTCATTCAATTCCTCCATTGGTGAAATGGAGTGATGAAAACTACCTCTTCCCCTAGGATTACGAACAACCGATTCAAAATGCAAATTAGGAGGGACAAGAATAGGATTTAATGACCTAAGACCATGCAAACACTAGCTAAACAAATAATAAGCAAATAACAATCACTTCGCCCCCACAACAAATCAATCAACAAATATTCTCTACGTACATTAATCCCATACTCCCATGCTTGAACATCATGCAAAGAAAAGTAAATTGCCTCCACGCGGGCTCACGATTTATCTAAGAATTGAAAAACTTGCCACCACGCTGGCCGACGATTTAACTAGAGATTGAGTTAGAAAGATATCACAAAGGGTCCTTAAGCAACTTCAATTAAACTTTTAAGTTTCAAGCCTTGCAATGGTTTGCAAATTTTTTAGATTTTAGCTCCTTTTTGTGCTTTTGTTTAGCTTCACTTAGATTCATTGCTTTCAATTCTCCTATCCTCAACTTCCTTGCTCAATTCACCTAATCAAATATGAACAAACACAATAAGTAACAAAAGTAAAATAAAGTAAAGACACAATCAAAAGAGTAATAATCCCTATTTGTTTCCAAAACACGGCATTGCCAATTCAAATCCCCGGTAACGGTGCCAAAAACTTGGTTGGTTGTCGCAGGTACAACCAAATTTGTGCAAAATAGTATGGCCAAGTTTTAAATTTATAAATGCCACTACTACCTCTAACTAAAAATATAGCTAGGGTGAGTAAGGATCGTCCTAAGGGATTTTAGGTACTAGCAATGGAAACAATGTATAGGGTTAGTAAGTCAACTGATCAAAAGGTGGTGTGTTTGGTTGATTAGACTACAAACTAAACTAAACAAGTTCAATGTAGAATAAGCAATTTAAATGAAATTTAGAGAAAACAAGAGAGCGAGGTCTTGGGGTCTAGAGGTCACCACTAAACATCACCATTCTAGACATTCAATGTATAATTAATGAGGGGAAACATGTGCTACAATTTGAGAGTGTGTGATTGATTGTTTCAACAAGCATGGATGACTAATTAAGCATATATTGTCTAAGCAACCTAGTGAATAGCACAATACATTAAACTAAACCATTAATCCTTCCTTTAAGCTCACAATCCAAACACATCACATAGTTAGACAATAATACTACTTGCATTCATAAGCATGGAACATCAAACAACAAGCATAGATTGTCCTCCCATCTAACGACTAAGGCAACTACACTACAACTAAGCTAAGGGCATGAAAATTAACTAAAGAAACTAAAGGAGAGCCACAATCTATCAAGAAGTGAGTATGAACCATCAAATAAACCATAATAATATTCTATTAAGCACTATGCCTTGACAATCTCTAGATCCATAGCATCAACACACATAGACATGCACAATAACACAAAAACTAGAGATAAATACATGAACATCTATTCTAGCATACATAGACATATGGATAGAATGAAATGATCAATTGGAAGTATTAAACCACACAAATCATTGAATAAACAAGATTCATATATAAAATAAGTGTCAAGACAAGATTACAACATGAATCCCCTCAAAATACAAAGCATTAGAGTCTAGAAGGCATGTTTAGGGCTAACTCTAGCCCCAAGAAGATGTTTAGCCACTTATTGAAGTAGTCATCCAACCCTATCTCCATGGTAGGAATAACCTCCTTCTTGATGGAAACCCTAGAAGAATGGAAGAACTCCCAAGAATGTGTCTCTAGCCTCTGCTCATTTCTTTTCTTCCTCTCTAAGAATGTTTCTAAGTCTATGAGATGATATATGAGATATGATGTAAAAGAGGCTCAAAATCCTTATATAGGTAGGTCAAGTGTCACACCTAATGCTCTGGATTCGTGTACTAGGGTCCTTGCAATGATTGCACCATGAGCCAACTTTTAATGAGCTGGAACTTATTTTTTTCGAACTTGAGGAGGTTCGATCGATCGAACTGTGGTGAGATCGATCGAACTTAGGTGAGATCCATCGAATGCTGTAGAGATTAATCATCCTTGGCGGCACCTTTTTGAATAAAGACAAATCTCTTAGATATTTTAGGATATTTTCAGAAAAAGACAAAAGTGGTTGGTAAGGTGGTAGGTGTGGATAAGATCGAATATTTTCTATCGATCGAAGAGATGTTGGATTGATCGAACTTGGTAGATTCTTTTGGATAAGAACAAAGGGTTGGATCCATCTTGATGTGTCTAGATCGATGTTGCTTTGATCAATCAAAGGATTTCTGAGATCGATCGAACATGCTGATTTTCACACTTTGCTTCATTCTGCGTCCACTTTGCACCCTTCTTCCATCCAGCTTAAGTTAGCTTCTTTAATGCTCTTATTTGGCTTAATTAACTTATTTTTGGAATAAGTGCCTGAAAAGGGCAATAACATAAAATTAGTCTAAAACGGGAAAGTAAGATAGATAAAGATCCTAGAATACCTAAGCTTAAGGGGTTTAATTGCGCAATTTTCAGCACTCATCATTCAATTAGGCACTATGTTTTGTCCATCACTAGATTAATATCATCAACACACATAGAAATGTATTAATTTCATTAAATCTAGAGAAAAGCAAATGAACATCCATTTTAGCACACATAGACATATGGATAGAAATATATGATCAATTGAAAGAATTAATCCATACAAATCATGTAAAAATTACAAGATCTATATTTATTCATGGTCAAAGCATCTATTATAACTAAAATCCCCAAAAAAACACAAAAGCTAGGTTTGAGAAACAAGCCTAGGGGCTATCTTTAGCCCCAAGAGAAGGATTTAACCACTCATTATAGTGGTCAAAGAACCCTCAAGGGCTAGCTTGGAGGTTGGCATCATCATCTTCATCCTTGATTTCTTCCCAAAACACTAGTTCTAGAGAGAGGAATATTTTTTCTCTCTTTGGTAATATCTCTCTATGATGATATGATACAACATAGCTTAATAAATCAATTTTATACTCCTTTGAGTATGGAAAAATTCAGAATTATAGCCTATGATTGGAGGAAATTCGCAGCTACACAAGTTAGGTAGAAATCGATGCGCTCGGGAATTAGACAGCTCACTACCAACAGCACTTTCAATCGATCGAAGATTCTCGATCGATCTAACACTTAACTTTGATCGATCAAAGCTAACGTGGCATTAAAATATCTTCTAGGCCTTATCTAATTAGATGAGCTGGCACTGCCTCATCTCGATTGATTGTAGACCTCATCGATCGGTCGGGAATTCCCTTCGATCGATTGAAGCTTCTTTGGTGCAACTTTCTTGGCTTCTTTTTGACTTTGCTCCTTAGCTCCAAAATTGGGCTAAATGGCTCTTATTAACCTAAAATAGGCAATAACACAAATAAATATCTAAGACATGAAAGTAAGATAGATGAATGGACAAAAATACCCTAGCTTAGGTGCTAAAATGCGTCACATTTGAGCACTTATCACATGGAACCCTCAAGGGCTAGCTTGAAGGTTGGCATCATCATCTTCATCCTTACTTTCTTCCTAAAACCCTAGTTCTAGAGAGAGGAATAATTTTTTTTATAATTGGTAATATCTCTATATTATGATATGGTACAATATGGTTTAATAAATCAATTACATACTCCTATAAGTAAGGACCAAGTCAGAATTACAGCCTATGATTGGAGGAAATTCGCAGCTACACAAGTTAGGTTGAAATTGGTGCGCTCGAGAATTAGACAGCTCACTGCCAGCAGCATTTTCGATCGATCAAAGATTCTCGATCGATCCAACACTTAGATTCGATCCATTAAAGCTGACGTGGCTCGAAAATATCTTCTTTGCCTTATCCAATTGGCTGAGCTAGCACCGCCTCATCTTGATCAATTGTAGACTTCTTCGATCAATCAAGATTCCCTTCGATTGATCGAAGCTCCTTTGGTGCATTTTCTTGGCTTCTTTCCAACTTTGCTCCTTAGCTCCAAATTTGGGCTAAATGGCTCTTGTTAGCCTGTTTGAACTTTATTAACCTGAAACAGGCAAAAACACAAATAAGTATCTAAGACATGAAAGTAAGATAGATGAATAGACTAAAATACTCTAACTTAGGTGCTAAAATGCATCACATTTGAACACTTATCATTTCTGAAGAAATTCTTCATCCACGCCCCTCAGGGAAAAAGAAACAACCAACGAGCTTTTCTTCAAAAGTAAAGCTACGCATTTTGAGGAAACCAAATGGAATGAAAGTACGTGAGGCCAAAAATTAACTCCAAACACGAAAAATGAATTTACGTGAAAGAAAATATCAACAAAAAAAGAAAATCTGTAAAAATAGGAAATAGGAAAAAGGAAAGGATGAAAAATGACCGGGTCATTACAACCTACCTTAAAGAGATTTCGTCTACGAATTAGG